TGGTATATTTTCCACCCTTTACATTTTTTTCTCATTTCATTCTCCTTTTTTAAAAAAAATTAAATTCTCACCCGAAGATATATTTTCATTTATTTTCAGAGAGACAGAGAGAGAGAGAGAGAAATATCGATGTGAAAGAGACACATCGGCTGGCTGCCTCCCGCATGACTGGCAACCAAGATACGTGCCCTTGACCAGAATCGAACCTGCGACTGTGGTATGAAAGCCAATGCCCTAACCACTGGGCTAAACCGGCCAGAGCTTGTTCTCATTTTTAATCAGTAAATTATGTTCCTTATACAAGTATGTATGCATGATACATTTTACAGATTAATAATGGGAAAAAGGCAAAATAAAAATAGTGGAATTTTTTCTTATTGAAAAATTACTTTAACGATGGTTCAAACATAGAAATAAGAATCAAGGAAAAGAAAAAAGAATTAAAGTGACTGGTAATAGGCATTATGTTTCCTTTGCTGTTAGACAATTCCTTTACTTCTATCTTCTCTCATTTGCAGAAAGGACAGCAAAATATTTTAAGTCGTCACAATGTCATTTATCAGATCATCTAGCCAAGAAATAAGGGCGATTTTCAAATTTCTCAGAGAGAACTGGTCATTTTCAGGAAGGGCAGTTTTCTGCCTCAAAAAGTGGTATTCTGGGAATAAGTTAGATCCCATTTACTGAGAAAATGATATATAACAAATAAAAATTAAATGAACAGAAAAAGTTTAAACACAAAGCATGTCGGTGATCATAGAGAATGATTTTAAAATTTCAGCACTCTCGATGATAACAAATTTATATACAAAAGCATAACTAAGCAACAGTAATAACCAACAATTACTGACTGCTTGTTCTTTGTCAGTTATCTAAGCTCCATATACACACTAACTCATTTAATCATTACTGAAAACCTACAAGGTATGATTATTAGTACCTTTGAACTGATGAGGGCACTGAGGCATAAATAAATCAAATCACTAGACAGTGGAGCTGAGCTTATGTTCTTTACAACTGTGTCCAAGGAGTTCCTCCAATTGAAGTGTCCACCATTTATCTGTAATTCTTATATGTAAACTGTCCCTTGGAAATGCCACTTAGTTCATTTATACTAATGTAATTATGATATAGTTGCATTTAAGCTTACCACCTTGCTATTGTGTCAATTTGTCCATTTGTCTCATTTGTCCATTGTTTCTATTTCTCTTTTTTTTTCCTTTTTTTAGATTAATTGTTTTTCATGATTATTATTCCATTTTGAGTCCTCAATTAGCATTTTGTTTATACCATTTTCTAATGTTTTAAGGGTTTATTCTAGAATAGCATTTCTCAACTAGATATGATTTTGGTACCCAAGGAACATTTGGCAATGTCTGGAGATATTTTTGGTTCCCATATCATAGAAATGATGTGTCTTCTTTGCATAATATCATCATATCAGGAATACATGATATCAATATGACATCTCTGCTGATGTTAACTATTGAAGCCTAGAAGAAAAATGCTAGTGGCTTCTAGTATATAGTGGCCAGGGATACTGTTAAATATCTTACAATACACAAGAGAACCTCCCACAACAAGAATTATCAAGTTCAAAAAGTCATTAGTGACAAGGTTGAGAAATCCTGCTCCAGAGAGTTAGAGGTTACATCATTCACCTTAAATTGTTATAGTCTACCTTAAATTAATACTTTACCACTTTATGATAAATGTAAAATTATTTAAAAGTAAAGCTCCATTTATCTGCTCCCATAGTTGGTAATATTATCATACATTTTACTTGTACATACATTATAACTCCACAAGGCACAAATATTATTTTTAATTTAAATAATTAATAAGCTTTTATATTTAACTAAATATGTATTCCTTTTGGTGCTCTTCACTCTTTTCTGCAGTTATGTTCTTTAGAGTCGTACCATTTTCTTTTGCCTAAAAGAATTAGTATTCTTTACAGTGCAGTTCTTCTGGCAAGTAATCCTCACAATTAGTGTTTGTTACAAAACATTTTTATTTCACCTTCACTTATGAAAAATATTTCACTGAGCATAGAATTCTAAAGTGGCAGTTTTCTCTTATAGTATTTTAAAAATGTGATTACACCATATCCTGACATCCATAGAGTGTCTTGTGTTAAAGGGTATGTTGTTAGTCTTATTTTTGCTTGTGTGAAGACAATTTGCCTTTTGACCCTCTGGCTGCTTTTAGGTTTTTCCCTTTATCCTTGGTTCACAGGTTAGACTATGATGTGCCTAGGTAAGGTCTTATAGTGTTTATCCTGCTTGAGGTTCTTGGATATAGGGGTAGCTATCATTCATCACTTTCGAGAAATTATTAGCATTACATTTTTCAAAAACTTTTTTCTACCTCATTCTCTTCCTCATCTCCTTCTGTGTTTCTAATTACACACATATTAAACTGACCAACAATCTCCCACATATTTTAATGCTTTTTTCTATTCTTTTCATTATTTTTTCTGTTTCAGTTCAGATAGTTTCTAATAAATGTCTTTGAGTTTAATATTCCCTCTTCTGCTGTGCTCAGTCTTCCAGTAAACTCATTCAAGAAATTTTTTTTTAAATTAAGGTGAAATACACAAACATCAAATTAATCATTTTAAGGCATAAACTTCAGTAACTTTTCCAATGTTGTGCAACCATGACCTCTCATTTTAAAACATGTTCATCAGCCCCCCCCCAAAATCTATAACAATTAATCAATAAATCCCTATTGCCCCTCATTCTAGACCCTGGTAACAACCAATTTTCTTTCTGTTTCTATAAATACATATCTTCTGGATATTTCATGTAAGTGTAATCAAACAATATGTGACCTTTTGCGCTGGGCTACTTTTTTTTTCTCTCTTGTTTTTATTTTATTTATTTATTTTTAAAATTAATTAATTTATTTCTGTTACAGATGTTTCTCCTTTTTCTTCCACTGATTCCCCCTCCCCTCCCCTCCCCACCCTGTCCCCAGCTTTGTTGTCCATGTCCATTGTTCACCCATACATGCATATAAGTTCTGTGGTTTATCTCTCCCCCACCACCCCCTCTACTGGGGACTGTCAGTCTATACTCCACTTCCACATCTCTGGAATTACCCCATTCCTCAGACTGTTATGTTCATTATATTCCACAAATAGGTGAGATCATATGATACTTTTCTTTCTCTGTTTGGCTTGTTTCACTTACGATAATATTTTCCAGGTCCCTCCATGTTGTCTCGAAGAATAAAGTATCTTTCTTTCTTACAGCTGCATAGTGTTCTATGTTGTATATGTACCACAGCTTTTTTATCCATTCATCTACTGATGGACATTTGGGCTGTATCCAGATCTTAGTTATTGTAAATAGTGCTGCTATGAACATAAGGGTACATATATTCTTTCTGATGGGCGTTTCAGGCTTCTGAGGATATTTTCCTAGAAGTGGGATCACTGGGTCCAATGGAAGTTCAATTTTTAATTTTTGAGATAACACCGTATTGTTTTCCATAGTGGCTGCACCAGTCTGCATTTCCACCAGCAGTGTACTAGATTCCCCTTGTCTCCACACCCTGGCCAACACTTGTTGTTTTATGATTTGTTGATGGTGGCCATTCTGATGGTTGTGAGGTGATACCACATTGTTGTTTTAATTTACATCTCTCTGATAATTAGTGATGTTGAGCATTTCTCCATATGTCTCTTAGCCATTTGTATGTCCTGTTTGGAGAGGTGTCTATTTAGTTACTCTGCCCATTTTTTAATTGGGTTCTTTGTCTTCCTTTTGTATGAGCACCCAATATATATTGGAAATTAACCCCTTATCTGATTTATTGTTAGCAATTATGCTCTCCCATACAGTGGGTTGCCTTTCTATTTTGATGATTGTATCTTTTGCTGTGCAGAGGCTTTTGAGTTTGACGTAGTCCCATGTGTTCATTTTTCTTTTGTTTTTGTTGCTTTAGGTGATGTATCAGTAAAAATTTTGCTATGTATGATGTCTGAAATTTTGTTGCCCACATTTTCTTCTAGGATTTTTATGCATTCATGAGTCATATTTAAGTCATTATCCATTTTGAGTTTATTCTTGTGTATGGTGGAAGTTGATGATCTAGTTTCATTTTTTTGCATGTAGCTGTCTAATTTTCCCAACACCATTTATTAAAGAGGCTGTCTTGACTCCGCTATATGCTCTTGCCACCTTTGTCAAATATTAATTGCGCATATTGTCTTGGGTTTATTTCTGGGTTCTCTCTTCTGTTCCACTGGTCTGAATGCCTGTTATTGTGCCAGTACCAGGCTGTTTTGATTACAGTGGCTTTGTAGTATAACTTGAAATCTGGTAATGTGATCCCTCCAACTTTGTTCTTCTTTTTCAAGATTGCTGTGGCTATTCGAGGCCTTTTTTGGTTCCATATGAACTTTTGAAGTATTTATTCTAGTTCTGTGAAGTATGTCATTGGTATTTTGATGGGGATTGCATTGAATCTATAGATTGCTTTGGGTGATATGGACATTTTAATGATGTTGATTCTTCTAATCCATTAACAGGGTATGTGCTTCCACTTTTTTATATCTTCCCCTATTTCTTTTTTCAATGACTCATAGTTTTCTGCGAATAGGTCCTTTATTTCTTTGGTTAAGTTTATTCCTATGTATCTTAATTTGTTTTTTGCCACAATGGTAAATGGGATTGTTTTCTTACTTTCTCTTTCTGTGAGTTCATCATTGATTGATAAGAATACCATTGATTTCTTGACATTAATTTTGTATCCTGCTACTTTGCCAAATTCACTTATGAAGTCTGGTAAATTTTTGATGGAGTCTTTGGGATTTTCTACATATAATATCATGTCATCTGCGAATAATGACAGATTCACTTCCTCCTTTCCAATTTGGATCCCTTTTATTTTTTCTTCCTGTCTGATTGCTGTGGCTAAGACTTCCAGTAACTATGTTAAATAAGAGTGGCGAAAGTGGGCATCCTTGTCTTGTTTCTGTTCTTAAGGGAAAAACTATGGAAGGCTTCACAAATTTGCATGTCATCCTTGCATAGGGGTCATGCTTATCTTCTCTGTATTGTTCCAATTTTAGTATATGTGCTGCTGAAGTGAGCACTATTTATTTATTTTTATTAATTTATTTATTTTTGTTACAGATGTTTCTCCTTTATTCCCCCATTCACCCTCCTCCCTATACCACCCGCCAGCCAAGCATTGTTGTCTACTTCCATTGGTTATGCCTACATGCATTTAAGTTCCCTGGTTTATCTCATCCCTCACCCCACCCCCAACCTGTGAAGTTTGCAGTCTGAACCATACTCATTTCTATGTCTCTGGGTCTATTTTGTTCATCAGCCTACCTTAATCATTATATTCCACAAATAAGTGAGATCATGTGGTATGTGGCTTTCTCTGATTGGCTTATTTCATTTAGCATAATACTCTCCAGGTCCCTCCATGTCATCTCAAAGGATAAGAGATCTTTCTTTCTTATAGCTGCATAGTATTCCATGTTGTATATGTACCACAGCTTTTTTTACCCACTCATCTATTGATGGACACTTGGGCTATTTCCAGATCTTAGCTATTGTAAATAGTGCTGCTATGAACATGGAGGTACATATATTCTTTCTAATTGGTGTTTCAGGCTTTTTAGTATATATTCCTAGAAGCGGAATCACTGGGTCAAGTGGTAGTTCAATTTTTAATTTTTTGACAAAACACTATATTGATCTCCATAGTGGCTTCACCAGTCTGCCTTCCCACCAGCAGTGTACTAGAGTCCCCTTTTCTCCACACCCTCACCAGCACATGTTGTTTGATGATTTGTTGATGGCAGCAGTTCTGGCAGGTGTGAGGTGCTATCTCATAGTCATTTTAATTTGCATCTCTCTGATGATTAATGACATGGAGCATTTTTTCATATGTCTCTTGGCCATTTGTACATTCTTTTTGGAGAGGTGTCTATTTAGCTCCTCTGCCCATTTTTTATTTGGGATCTTTGTCTTTCTTTTGTTGAGTTGTATGAGTACTCTATATATTTTGGAAATTAACCCTTATCCGATTTATTGTTGGCAATTATAATCTCCCATATAGTGGGTTCCCTTTCCATTTTGATGCTTGTTTCCAGTGCTGTGCAGAAGCTTTTTAGTTTGATGTAGTCCCATGTTTTAATTTTTACTATATTTCTCTTGCCTTAGACATTGTATCAGTAAAAATTCTACTGCATGTGATGTCTAAAATTTTGTTGCCTGCATTTTCTTCTAGGATTTTTATGTATTCATGAGTTACATTTAATTCTTTCATCCATTTTGAGTTTATTTTTGTGTATGGTACAAGTTGTTGGTCTAGTTTCTTTTTTTTTTTTTTTTTTGCATGTTGCTGTCCAATTTTCCCAACACCATTTATTAAAGAGGCTGTCTTTACTCCAATGTATGCTTTTGCCACCTTTGTCAAATTTTAATTGAGCATAATATCTTGGGTAAATTTCTGGGTTCTCTGTTGTGTTTCATTGATCTATCTGTCTGTTCTTGTGCCAGTACCAGGCTGTTTTGATTACAATGGCTTTGTAGTATAACCTGATATCTGGTATTGTAATTTCCCCCTACTTTGTCCTTCTTTTTCAAGACTGCTGTGGCTATTCGAGGTCTTTTTGGGTTCCATATAAACTTTTGAAGTATTTGTTCTAGTTCTGTGAACTATGTCATTGGTATTTTAATTGGTATTGCATTGAATCTATAGATTGCTTTGGGTAATATGGACATTTTAATGATGTTAATTCTTCCCATCCATGAACAAGGTATATGCTTCCACTTTTTTATATCTTTCTCTATTTCTTTTTTTTTTTAATATCCCATAGTTTTCTGCAAATAGGTCCTTTACTTCTTTGGTTAAGTTTATTCCTAGGTATCTTAATTATAGTGCCTCATTGGTAAATGGGATTGGTTTATAAATTTCTCTTTCTGTGAGATTATTATTAGTGTATAAGAATGCCATTGAGTTCTTGATGTTAATTTTGTATCCTGCTACCTTGCCAAATTTGTTTATCAATTCTAGTAGATTTTTGATGGAGTCTTTCGGGTTTTCTATGTACAATATGTCATCTGCAAATAATCCCAGTTCCACTTCTTCCTTTCCAATTTGGATCATTTTATTTTTTCTTCTCTTGTAATTATTGTGGCTAGGAATTCCAGTACTATGTTAGATAAGAGTGGCATAAAGTAGGCATCCCTGTCTTGTTCCTGTTCTTAAGGGAAACGCTTTTGTTTTTTGCTCATTGAGTATGATGTTGGCTGTAGGTTTTTTATGTATGGCTTTTATTATGTTGATATATGATCCTTCTATTCCAACATTGCTGAATGTTTTTATTAGAAATGGGTGCTGTAGGGTACAGACTGACAATCACCAATAAGGGAGGGGGGAGATAAACCACAGAACTTATATGCATGTATAAGAGTCTTGATTACATCTTCAATTTTCTTAGCTATTATTGGTTTATTCAAGTTTTCTACTCTTCCAAGTTCAGTTTTGGGAGAGTATGTGTTTCTACAAATTTGTCTGTTTCGCTTAGATTGTTCAATTTGGTGCCGTATAATTATTCATAGTATTTGTTAACGATTCTTTGTATTTCTGTGGTGTCAGTTGTTACTTCTCCTCTTTTGTTTTTGATTTTATTTATTTGGGTCCTCTCTCTTGTTTCTTAGTGAATCTTGCTAATGGTCCATCAATCTTGATTACATTTTCCAAGAACCAGCTCTTCGTTTCATTAATCTTTTGAATTTTTTTTTAAGTCTCTATGTTGTTTATTTCTGCTCTGACCTTAACTATTTCTTTCTTTCTATTTGCTCTAGGTTTTTCTTTTTGTTGGCTTTCTAGTTCTTTAAGTTGTGAGGTTAGATAATCAATTAGAAATGTTTCTTTTTTCCTGAGGTAGGCCTCAGGACTGCTTTCACTTTATCCCACAGATTTTGTGTTGTTATGTGTTCATTTTCATTGATTTCCAGGAAGTTTTAAATTTCTTCTTTGATCTTGGTAATCCAGTCAATGTTTAATATCACGTTATTTAGCCTCCATGTGTTCAAATAGCTTTGCGTGTTCTTTTTGCAAGTGGTTTCTAGTTTCATTCCATTGTGATCTGAGAAGATGTTTGATATGATTTCGATCTTCTTGAACTTGTGGAGACTTACTTTGTGTCATAACATGTGGTCTATCTTTGAGAATATTCCACTTGCACTTGGGAAGAATGTGAATTCTGTAGTTTTGGGGTGTAATTCTCTGTAGATATCTGTTAAATCCATTTGGTCTAGTACATCATTTACAGTCTCTGCATCCTTGTTAATTTTTTGTTTAGAGGATATATCCATGACATCAGTAGTGTGTTGAAGTCCCCTGCTATGATTGTATTGCTGTTGATTCCTCCTTTGAAGTCTTCCAGAAGTTTTAAAATATATTTTGGTGCTCCTATATTGGGTGCGTATATGTTTACCAAGGTTATATCTTACTGTTTGATAGATCCTTTCAATATTATGTAGTGGCCTTCTTTGTCTCTTTTTATGGCCTTTATTTTAAAGTCTGTTTTATCGGATATGAGTATTGCTACCCCAGCCCTTTTTTCCTTTCCATTTGGTTGGAAGATTTTTTCCATCCCTTCACTTTCAACCTATGTGAGTTTTTTGTTTTGAGGTGTGTCTCTTGTAAACAACATATATGTGAGTCATACTTTCTTATCCAATCAGCTACTCTGTGTCTTTTGATAGGAGTGTTTAATACATTTACATTTAAGATTATTATTGATATGTACATATCTATTGCCATTTTTGTTCATTGTGGTTATATTTTTCTTCCTATGTCTTCTACTAATTACAGCAGTCCTTTTAGCATTTCTTGCAGTGACGGTTTGATGCTAATATATTCCCTTAGCCTTTGTTTGTTTGCTTGTTTTTGTCTGTGAAGCTCTTTATTTCACCTTCTATTTTGAATGATGGCCTTGCTGTATAGAATAGTCTTGGATTCAGATCTTTGTTTTTCATTACCTTGATTACTTCATGCCATTCCTTTTGGCCTATATTGTTTCTGTTGAGTATTCAGATCATAAATTTATAGGGATTCCTTTGTAGGTAACTTGTTGCTTATCTCTTGCTGCCCTTAGGATTCTTTCTTTGTCTTTAATTTTTGGCATTTTAATTATTATGTGTCTTGGTGTGGGCCTGTTTGGGTTCTTCTTACTTGGGGCCCTCTGTGCTTCTTGTACTTCTATGCCTTTCTCCTTCACCAAGTTATGGAAGTTTTCTGTCACTTTTTTTTTTTTTTTTTTTTTTTCAAATATATTCTCTAACCCTTGCTCATTTTCTTCTTCGTCTGCAATGCCTATGATGCAGATGTTGTTATTTTTTATATTGTCCCACAGTTCTCTTAGGCTCTCTTTCTGTTTTTTTTAATTGTTTTTCTTTTTGGTTCTTTGGGAAATTTTTTTCTACACTGTCTTCTAATTCACTGATCTGATTTTTGGCCTCCTCTACTCTGCTGGGTTATTCCTTCCAGTGTGTTCTTTATTTCTGCTATGTCCTTCATTTCCACTTGGTTGGTTTTCAATGCTTTTATATTTTTACTCATGATGTTGAGGTTCCTCGTCATTATTACTTTGAATTCTCCCTCTGATATCTTCCTCATTTCCCTTTTATTTATATCATTTTCTGTCAAATTATCTTGATCTTTCATTTGGAATTTGTTTCTTTGTTTCACCATTTTGGCTGTTTCAGTGGGTTTTAGAGCCTGCCAAATTTTCCGTGTGGGTGTTGGTGTTCTACTGGTTGTGGCTCTCTCTGGTGGGTTTGGATGAGTTTGAGAGGACCCACGTTAAACACCACTGTTAAGTCTTACTTTCCCGGGCAAATTTGCAAGCCCAGGAAAGGTTCATTTATCCTCTAGCTTTTTCCTGGAGGATATTAGTCTCAGTTACTTGATGAGCCTTGGGTTGTAGCACTGAACTCATTGAAAAAATGCCTCAGGTGTCCAGGGTAAGAGGACTTTCAGAGGGTGGGGCAGATGCTTGCTGGCTGTTAATAAGCCTCAATTTGAATTTATCTGGCCTGGCTGCATGGTGTTAAATTTTTGAGG